AAGAGAGGCCACTGCTGGGAAATACATGCTCTGGGCTGACAGAAGTAAAAAGATGGAAAAGATTTCCATAAATCCAGATCTGAGGGCAGAGTTTTGCTATAATGGCATCTCCAGTTCCTAACTATGCCAAGAAAACATGTTCAGTTATCAGCTACTAGAAAGACAAGAGCCTTCTTGAAGGAGTCAGGATTTGATTTTTTGCTTCACATCACTCCCACTCTGTTCCTTGTTATCAGTTCCACTTCCCAGCCAGATCTGGGTGGCTTCCCTAGATGTTCTTGCTTGGGAATGCTCCATTTCTTTAATGGACTCTCTGGTATCTTGACTGAGAAATCCTCTCTCCCAGTTGCTCTTCTTAAGGCCTGAAAGAGGTCACAATTCCAGACAATTATCATGGGAATGTGCTAGCTAAAACCTCAGCATCAAAAGGAAACAGGGACAGGTTTACTTCAAAAGCAGAACTGCATGGAGCTATTCCTCCTCTACTCAGTAGACAAAATGAAGTGAGGGAACAGAAAGCTGTAGAGTGCGTGGATGAGGAGGCTGAACTTTGAGATAGAGAAAAAGCACCAGGATGAAACATGCATAGAGGAGGCTTTTCAGAGCATTTCTCCTGCCAGGTGATGATGCCAACAAGGTGATGACTTACAAGCACATCACTAATTGTCCACTCCCATCCAAACACTGATGCTCCTTGTTTGGAAGTTCTTCACCACCATCGTTTCAAACTTTCTCGCCAAACCCTACAACCAGCAGGGAGTGTAAGAGAATGATCATTACTCGCCATTCTTTAAGCTTCTCTCCCTGCAGACACCCTGACAATTGGCTTTCTGCCTCTCAGCTCAGACTTACATTATTAAACTGATGCAAAAACAACACTAGTGTCCTCTGGAGACCTTTTAGAACTCTTTTCTGCGAAGGAAGAAGAGCACAAATTTAGACACTGCCACATCCTTTTTAGATACCCAAACTGGCTCCAGGAAACCCAGTTCAGGTACCAGAAAGGGAACAGACACATGGGCTAGTTCTAGCACTGTATAGGCCCATGAGGATGAACTGAAACAACCTGCAACCTCTGTTTGTTACTGGATCTGTTATTCATGTTATCAACACTACAGAATATCTGTCCAGTAAGGACAGCAGCCAGCAGTGACAGGAGGATGGTCAGCTTTGAGAGGAACAAACTGATGTTTGTTGGAGAGCTTTGGGAATATTCTAACACCCGTCTGTCCCTGTGTCCTCTTAAAAAGCTTGCTTGGAACTGTATTCATTAGCACACAAATGTTATCTGCAGTCCAGGAGCCTGGAGCAGCTCACAGCAAAATGACTAATGCTTCATCCTCATTTTCTTTCAGGGATGATGGACCAAAGTCCTGCTCTCTCCAGTAAAACCATTCCATCTTCAGAAGGAAAGTTATTCAGATGGATGGGACAAGATCATAACAAGTGTTAGAAATCTGAGGCCAGATTTGCCAAGTTATTCACTTCTCTCAAAGACCCATAGGTGGCCCTGGTACATAGGGATGTGAAGGAAGAACCTTACCCCTTACCTCATGCAATCAGTTGCTGGCATTGGTGTTACCCCCAAGTTTTTCTGAAATAAATAGTTTATCCAGGCTGGAGATAGTTCTATGAGTCAAGCTATCCTGGAGAAAAATGTTCTGGAACACAATGAGCCAAATACTAGAGGCAAAATCTACAGATGAAAAGTAATAAATGTAGTACCATCTGTGACCTGGTAGAGAGAAGACCTAACATACACTGAACACTTATTACATACTCATTTAATTCTCACATAAAGCCAGCAGCTTCCTGAACAGTAGGGAACTAATTTCCTACCAGTTTCTGTATTTCTGTCTCACCACAGCAGTACCAGCTCCTTCCTGCACTGTGATTCCTTAAGAAGCCACATCATGTCACTGTGTTAACACTTAGCAAAGCTCAGTACTGGCCCTTATAGAACAGGGAAGTGGCTGGCAATAAAAGAAAACTAATTCTACCAAGAAGCACCAGCAGATGTAAGGCTGTGAGTTTCTATCCACTACTAACGCATGTGTATCCAGGCAGTCTGCCTGATCCCTTGCAAGAGGACAGAGGACAGATGAAACCAGCTATCAAGTTCTCCACATTGGTTCTAGCCTAACTCCCACCCACCCTTTCTGCGTCCCTTTCTGTGGTCTCCTGTCCTTTTTGTGACTTTCTTTCTCTTCCACAGAGATATGCCTGTGCCCCTGATCAAGCCTCTAATTCCTCGGGATGGCTTTCTAAGGGAGCTCAGAGCTCAGGTCTAGACTGAGAGCCGTGGGTGGGGACATCACTGACTAGAAGAAAAAAGAGAGGTGAAGGAAGGCCTCAGCAAGCTGTGTGAGGACTTTGAGGACAAGCTTCTTATTCATAGATAAAAAGCACCACAGGGGAAAGTAAAAACCAAGTATCTACAAAGCTTTCCTCTTCTCTTTCCCATGAGCTCAGCTTATTTCTTTTAAATGAGGTCTCTGGCCATTTTTTCTTAGCCAAGACCATGCAGTGAGGCAGCGGTTTGTCTTCCTGCAAGCAGTGCTGCTAACAAAGCTGCTTCCCAGCATCTCCTGGCCTGAGGGCAGATGCTGCTGCCACTTGGGAGGGGAAGGAAATTGGGAGCATGAAGCTGAATGGCAGTGTTTCACAACTTCATTCCGTTAGCACTGTGTGTGGGAAAGCAAGACAGACACCCAGAAGGACGGGAGAGTGGGACGATGGCAGACAGGTGCTACAGGTGCAAAAACCCACTCCAGCATGCTCCACATCACCATACTGAACTGCTGCTGAGGAGAGTGGCATCTCCTTTCAATTCTTTCCTATCAGAGTCCCTGGTGCCATGTCATGAGTAGGGCCTGCAACCTGCTCCAAAGGAGCATCATAGGCCGTATTCTCCAAGCCTTTCACAAGCCTTGCTGCCCTTCTTTGGACCTGCTCCAGCACCTCCATGTCCTTTCTGTACTGAGGTGCCCAAAACTGATCACAATACTCGAGACGGGGCCTCACCAGTGCCGAGTACAGGGGCAGGATGACGTCCCTAGTCCTGCTCACCACAGCATTCCTCATACAGCCAGGATGCATTGGCCTTCTTGGCCACCTGGGCACACTGCTGACTCATATTCAGCCAACCGTCCATCAGTACACCAAGGTCCCTTTCTGTCAGGCAGCTTTCCAGCCATTCACCCCCAAGCCTGTAAGACTGCCTGGAGTTGTTCTGACCAAAATGCAGGACCTGACACTTGGCCCTATTGAAACTCACACTGTAGTGCCTTTCTCCCCTCTGGCAGATCAACACTCTCTCCCAGCTTGGTATCTTCTGCAAACTTACTGAAGGTACACTCAGTAAGTGTGGAGCAGCACACAGTTCCCTGCAGCCCAAAAGATGCCCATGGTGAAGCAGGCTGTCCGCCTGCAGCCCATAGGCAGCACACATAGCAGATGTCCACATGCAGCAGTGGAGTAGCTGATGTTGCAGCAGTAGATGTGGCCTGGAGGAATCTGCAGACCATGGAGAACCAGCAAAAGTTGACTGTGGGCTGGAGCTGCAGCCCAAGGAGAGGAGTAGGTGGAACCAGGGTGGAGCAGAGGCACAGAGTGATCACAGAGGAGCAGCAGAGATGAAATGTTATGGATTGATCACAGCTCCCATTCTCCATTTCCCTATGCTGCTTGAAGGGGAGAAGAAGGGGCTAGGAAGAAGGTGTTTGTAGTTTGCTTTTAGTTCTTGCTGCTCCAGTCTGTTAGCAGTAGGCAATAAATCACATTGATTTCCCTATGCTCAAGTCAGTTCTGCCTGCTGTGGTCATAGGTGAGTCACCTCCCTGTCCTCATCTCAGCCCTTGATCCCACAGTAGAGGGCTGGAACTCAGAGAGATCTGGACAGGCTGGATAGCTGGGCTGAAGCCAATGGGATGAGTTTCAACAAGGCCAAATGACAGGTCCTGCACTTTGGCCAAAAGAACCCCAGACAATGCTACAGGCTTGGGGCAGAGTGGCTGGAAGACTGTGTAGAGGAAATGGACCTGGGGGTATTGATTGATGCTCGGCTGCACATGAGCCAGCAGCGTGCCCAGGTGGCCAAGAAGGCCAATGGCATCCTGACCTGCATCAGGACAGTGTTGCCAGCAGGAACAGGGCAGTGATTGTTCCCCTGTACTCAGCTCTGGTGAGGCCACACCTCGAGTACTGTGTCCAGTTTTGGGTCCCTCACTGCAAGAAAAACATTGAGGCCCTGGAGCGGGTTCAAAGGAGGGCAACAAAGCTGGTGAGGGGTCTGGAACACAGACCTGATGAGGAGAGGCTGAAGGAGCTGGGAATGTTCAGCCTGGAGAAGAGGAGGCTCAGGGGAGACCTCATTGCTCTCTATAACTTCCTGAAGGGAGGTTGTAGTGAGCTGGGGGTCGGCCTCTTCTCTCGTGTAACTGGTGATAGAACTAGAGGGAATGGCTTCAAGCTGTGCCAGGGGAGATTCAGGCTGGAAGTTAGGAAACACTACTTCTCTGAAAGAGTGGTCAGGCACTGGAATGGGCTGCCCAGGGAGTTGGTGGAGTCACCGACCCTGGTGGTGTTCAAGGAACGTTTGAATTTTGTGTTGAGGGACATGGTTTAGTGAGAGCTATTGGTGATAGGTGGATGGTTGGACTGGATGATCCTGTAGGTCTTTTCCAACCTTGGTGGTTCTGTGAAAGATCTTTAAAGTCCCTTCCAAATCCCAGCTGTTCTATGAGCCTACAATATTTACTCCCTCTCTTCCTTAAAGAGTGGCAGTGAAAGAGCCACCCACAAGTATTAAGCTGCCACAACCTCACCCTCTGCGAACTACATTTCCCAGAAGGCCTTGCGCCCGATCGGCGGAAAACGCAGTCCTTGCGAGCTGGCGCTCTCCCTTCCGATTGGTGCGCTGGGGGAGTCCGCCGAGCGGCCATTGGCTGCGGGAGTCACGTGAGGCGGGGACGCTCGGAGGGCACCAGGCGCGCCCGGCCGCTGCCATGCTGGGGACCCGGGGCGGGTGGAGAGCTCTCCGCCGCTTCTTCTCTTCACTGCCGCGGGAGCAGCGGGTTCCGGCGGCTCGGCTGCGGGTCCGGGAGGCGTTGGGGGCCCGGGAAGCGGCGGGCAAAGTGAAGGTGCAGGTGTGTGGCGGCGGCGTAGCGACTCCCAGGCGGTAACGCGACCTGCGGCCGGAGAGAAAGGGAGAGGAGCCACCAGGTCCTCAGCTTCGGAGTTGAAGGCTTTAGTTTTAGCGTTTTGTAAAACTGTCTGGTCCCCTTCGCCGTCCGGCTCTGCCGTCCCTGATCGCTGGGTGATCGTTAGATAGGATTCGAAGCTTTGCGATTACCCCGCAGGTGTGCAGGGAACGGCAGTTCCTATAGCAGATTACACTGACGAATAGCAGCACGTCCACGTGTCCCCACACTTGGATGCTAGGAAGACATTCCTTGCTGTGAGGGTGGTGAGACACTGGCACGGGTTGCCCAGAGAGGTTGTGGATGCCCCACTATAGAGGCATTCATAGCCAGGCTGGATGGGGCTGCGAGCAGCCTGGTCTACCACGAGACCAGGTCTGCCTACTAGAGGTGCCCTGTCTATGGCAGGGGAGTTGGAACTCTATCATCTTCAAGGTCCCTTCCAATCCAAACCATTCTATGATTATGTACAGCCTAATAGGGAAGGAAGGAGCTTAATACAGGTGCTTCTCATCTGTAGTTTTATGAATTCTAGAATAAGATGCTGCTAATATTGGCAGTACTTCCTTTTTGTTTCCTTGATTCTTTGTTGTCTTTCTCTTGTGTTGACATGTGTTCTTTTGCATTAAGCTGGGCTGGAGAACTGATCTGGCTTAAAATGATCCTTATTGTGAGTAGTTTTAGTTACTGGAAGTTGCAGTCTGATCTGAATTGAGGCTGGCACTTAGCAGTGCTTCTGATAGGGTAGGAAGTGGTCCAAAAACTTATGCTACAGCCTCTGCTGCTCTGCTGGAAGCCTGAGGGCACACTGATATTTTCCTGTGGGAGGCTGGAAGACTCATCTTGTTTAACAAATCCTGGTGCTGCTTGAGGTAGAAAAAAGCCATCAAGAACGTTTCTTTGTTTGGGTTTTTTTTTATGTCCTTGCAAGGAAGGAAACTAAGAAAAACATCTACCATTGTGCATCATGTACCTGTTCTGGGGGTTTTACTGGAATACATGAGACAGGCACAGCAGCCTCAGGAATGTTATTGTACAAAACACCTTGTACAAAACATATGAGGATGCCATGCCAGATAATCAAACTTTTGTTTTGGACTTAGTTTTCTTTTTTTTTTTTTTTTTTTTTTTTCTTCATTAACACTGCTTCAAGTGGAACCACCTGCAGAGGATGCTCAGGTGAACATGTATCTGAATTTGTGAGGCTGAAAGAAAGGCTGAATTTTTGGTAATCCTTAGTTTTATGGCATAAACTTCTTTAACATTTCTTATATGCACCTGCCCTGCACACTTTGGCAGGTGTTTCCTGTGCAGGAGGGTTCTGCAGAATTATCATAACGTGAGCTGGAAACTTCCCAGTGGACAGGTTTTGTTATAAGAGCAGCTTTGTCTTAGCTCTGGTGAGGTGAGGAGCTGCTAGGGGAGTTGCATTTTGGATGCCTTGCATTTCATAGAATCATAGAATCACAGAATGGCCCGGGTCAGAAGGAACCTCAAGGATCATGAAGCTCCAACCCCCTGCCACAGGCAGGGCCACCAACCTACACGGTTAATCCTAGGCCAGGCTGCCCAGGGTCCCATCCAGTCTGGCCTTGAACACCTCCAGGGACGGGGCATCCACAGCCTCTCTGGGCAGCTGTTCCAGCACCTCACCACTCTCTCTGTAAAGAACTTCTCCCTGACATCCAACCTAAATCTTCTTTCCTTCAACTTAAAACCATTTCCCCTTGTTCTGCTGTTATCTACCCTTTCCAAGTGCTGATTCCCTTCCTGTTTGTAGGCTCCCTTTAGGTACTGAAAGGCTGCAATGAGGTCACTCCACAGCCTTCTTCAAGCCCAGTTCCCCTAGCCTGTCTTTGTATGAGAGGTGCTCCAGCCTTCTGATCATCTTTGTGGCTCTCTTCTGGACCCTCTCCAACAGCTCCCTGTCTTTCTTGTACTGGGGGCCCCAGACCTGGACACAGTGTGCCAGGTGGTGCCTCACAAAGGCAGAGTAGTGAGGGACAATCACCTCCCTGTCCTGCTGGCCACCCCTCTTTGATGGAGCCCAGGATACCATTTGCTTTCCAAGCTGCAAGAGCTCACTGCTGGCTCACACTCTGTTTTTTCATCCATCAGGACCCCCAGGTCCTTCTCTGCAAGGCTGTTCTCAAGGATTGCTACTTCCAGTCTGTATACGTGCCTGGGATTCCTCCTGCCTAAGTGCAGAACGTTGCATTTAGTTGTGTTTTGCTTGGTGTCTTGATACATTTTAGATTATTTTATTTTATATTTAATTTCCTAAAATGCATCATAGAATTGCAGACTGATTTGGGCTGGAAGGGGCCTTCAGCCCATCTGTTCCTGGCCTCTGCTACAGACAGGATTCCTTCCACCAGGTCAAGCTACCCACAGCCCCATCCAGCCTGTCCTTGGGCACTCCCAGGGATGGGGCAGTCAGAATTTCTTCCTTATACCCAATCTAAATCTCTCTTCTTTCAGTCTACATCTGGTTGCCCCTTGTCCTGTCACTCTTTCTTATGAGCCCCTTTTATATATTGGAAGGCCACAGAAAGATCCCCCTGGAGCCTTCTCCAGGTGGAACAATCCTCATTGCCATAACCTCTATTCATCTCTCATTGAACCACTGACTTAATTCTTTGGTTCAAAATAGCTAAGAATGTTTTTTTGGTTTTTTTTTTTTTTTTTTTTTTTTTTTTTTCAATGGGGACGCATGGGAAATATTATTTTTTTAAGGCATAAAGAGAAACATGAAGAAGTGTCAGAGTGAATTGGCTGTAGTGTCATTGTTTCAGTAGTCCAGTGGCTATGGGCATATAATCAGAAACAACTAGTGAACCATTTCCAATTGGAACCTAAATACAGGCGCTGCTGCAACAAAGATTGGTACTAACTTTGTCAAAATAGCCTGGAGTATTTTCACTTAAAGCACTGTGCATTCCTGCACAGCTGCAATAAAAATGCTCATGAGGGAAATAACTAATAGAAATGTGTACGTTGCTAAAATGCTTTTCATCTTCAAAGCACTCTGCCAGTTTCGTTATTCTAAGCTGCACAGAGATGCAGGTAGATCTTAGTTATGCTTTCTTTACTCCTGGGGAGAGCTGATGTCTCTGCCTAAGGTTTTGTTGCTATTTGCTTTGAAGTGAATAGAAAAAAATGACATTGTTGGGTTGTTGTTGTTTTTTTTCCAACTTCCTCATAGAGAAATATTTCCTTTGATTTCAATGAAAAGCTGAAATAGGCCTGCTGTGGCGTGTCCAGCTCTTCGGGGGAGGGGAAGAAAACAACAAAAAGCAACATGATTATATGGAACTGATGACAAGAAATAACAAATTTCTTTTTCTTTTACCTTTAGGGCTGGGTCCGCTCCGTCCGATCCCAGAAGGAGGTTTTGTTCCTGCATGTAAATGATGGGAGCTCTCTGGAAAGCCTCCAGGTGGTTGCTGATCCCAGTCTGGAGTGTAGGTGAGTCAGTTTGCGATACCTGGGGAAATATGTGTGTTGATCAATGCTCAGAGGGGTCTCCTGAGACCTCCTTTCTTGTGCCACAGTGCTGGAGGAACCTCCAGCTGTTGGCACCTGATCATAGGAAAGAAACAGCTGCAGTTTGAGGTCCTTGGTTGTGTTTTTTCAGATAGAGCAGTGGCTTTGGGGTTCAGCTGCTTGTCCTGTCAGATTAATTTGGATCTCACTTTCTTGGTAGCTGTAGTAGTGAGGGTGTTCTGGACTACTGTTGGACCTGCTTGGAAATTGCACTCTGTTTTTGAGGATGAATGTTCTCCAGGTTTTTGATGACCACTGTTGTTCTTACTGTGCTGATTGAGAGATGGCTGGGTAGGCATACTTCCTAGATGGGCATGCCTGTTCTGTTGTCAGATGATAATAGAATAATGCACTTGATTTTCAGCTTCATTTTGTTACTGTCAGTTGTACTTCGGGGGTTTCATGACAGTCCAGGAACCTTCTGTGCATTACTTGATATGTTCTATTTTTGTTACAAGCTTCATTTGTCCACATCAGTGTGTTCTTATAAAAACCCATGTTCCTCTCTCTCTTCCAACACTCCAGTGTCCTAAATTGTTCTAGTGTGAATTTATTCTCATTTCATAGAATCATAGAATAGCCTGGGTTGAAAAGAACCTCAAAGATCATTTAGTTTCAATCCCCCTGCTATGTGCAGGGTCGCCAAGTATCAGACTTAGGCTGCCCAGAGGCACATCCAGCCTGGCCTTGAATGCCTCCAGGGATGGGGCATCCGCAGCCTCCTTGAGCAACCTGTTCCAGTATGTCACCACCCTCTCTGTGAAAAACTTCCTCCTAATACCTAACCTAAACCAAATCTAACTTGCTGTTAAATTGTAGTTGCCTTTGTATTAACAGCTGGTGAATTGTTGTTGCTTCTGTTTTCATAGAGACCTGACTTTTGGAAGTGCAGTGGAAGTGCAAGGGAAACTGGTCAAAAGCCCTCACAAGATGCAAGATGTGGAGCTGCAAGCTGATGCCATTCATGTGGTGGGACCTTGTGATACTTTGGTATGTCACTGCAGCAGGGAGTCCAACTGGTAGGAGCACTTTGGGAATGAAAGCCAAAATGCCCAACTGTCCAGTAGAGAGTGCTTCAAACTGTGCTGTTTGTTTGTTTTCCAACTCAGTATGCCTGCAGACTTTGATTTGGCTGCAGTGTATGTAGGGTGCATCATTTGAGGAAGAAAATTGATAGGAATGCCTTGAATGCTCTCCTCTGGGGCAGTGCTGTTCCTGTGTGGAAACAGGTGCAAATGTTGGCAGCTGAATGAGGGCATTTGTCCCACCCTGAAGCAGTTTTCTGGGCTACGTGGTTTACCTGGTAACTCTAGCCAAGAATCAGGGAAGCAATGAATCTGGCTAACTGCTCCAGATTGTGAAGGCAGAAGAATCTGCTGCAAGCATGTTTGGGAACAGCTCACTATTGCAGCAGTGAGTTGAACAGTTGACTTTCAAGGGGCTCAACTTCCAAAAGATGAAGCATTTCAGAGTGCTGCTACTTTTCTTCTGTTCATGGCTTAGAAAAATTTAAAAAATAAAATGTACATCCACAAAGTATTAGAGAAGATGAGGAAAAAACGCTTTTCCCCCCTCTTTGCTCTGTAATCTTTGCTCTGTAATTGGTGATTGAGTTTTAGAATGCGGAGATTGCTATTCCATGCATGGCAATAAAGTTGTACTGACTCCATATTCTCATCATCTTGTATTTCTTGGCTTGTTGCTTTTAGTCATTCCCCTTCAAAATAAAGGAGAGGCACCCACTGGAGTATGTCCGACAGTTCCCACACTTGCGATGCAGAAGCAATGCACTTGGAGCCCTCCTGAGAATCCGCAGTGAAGCCACGGCAGCAATCCACTCATTCTTCCAGGTAGTCCTCGCTGTCCTGAGCTTTATATGTAGACCACTACCTGGGCTAGGCCTCACAGGAATATGTTAAAAGGAAAGGGCCATCATGTGTTTGCTGCATGGAGGTGTTTTTACAGGTCTGGCCAGACTGAGACCTTGACCAGGGTGTTGCTGATGGTGAGGTTTGCACACTGGTGGTCTTTTCAGTGTCTTTCCACCTGTTTTCCTGTTATTTTTATCCCTTTTGCTTAGTTGCAGTATAATTGCCTGCAACTGTGTGTGGTCTGTAAGACACAGCATAATAAGGAATTATTTAACTCACTCTCAGCAGTGACCTTGGGCAGTAGCCTCCTCCTACGTGGAAATATCTGTGATACTGGAAAGCAACAGAGAAACAGGCTCAAATCTTCATGTTATTACTGTCAATTCTTTTTATCTCTCTATGCAAGTCTGTGTTGATACTGTTAGCTGAGATTAAGATGCTTCTGTTTTAATGCTTTTCAAACTGACGGAGTGTAAATACCTATGTTTAATGAAAATGTCCCCATCCTCAAGCTGTGGGCAGGGTACAGGCAGTGAATTAACTCTAATTCCAGATGCTGTACAGAGACCATGCGAGTACGTAAAGTCACAAAGCAAGTCCTCTAACAAGCTGGAGCTCTTTCTTTTACAGCCATTCTTTGTGTTTCAGTTGACATAAACTGGCTTTAGCTGGTGTAGAATCATATGCACAGCATTCCTATTATTATAGAAAGTCTGAAAGAACAGATTGGAATTGTTGAGGTTGAATTTCTGGTCCAGAGTGTGCGCTTACTTTCTGCTTGTAGTGACAAAGAAAGCGTGCTTGCTCACTCAGAGACTTGTCTGTATGAAATTGTGTGGTATTTTAAAGATTGTGTTTTAAGAGCTTAATAGTTATATCGTGTCAGTTAAAGCTGCTGTTAGTTTCAGCATTGTGCCTACTCATAACACAGAACGTGACTTTGCTGGGAGTTGGTCTCTGCTGGTATTGAGCCACTAGGTGGCAATACCTACAAAACTTTGTCATTTCAAACCAGGCAAAGAAGCCAGCTGATACCAAAAAGCATCATATTCTGATAAAGGCTTTACTTCTCCAACTTAATTCCAGCTCAGGCTGATGTATTTCTGTTTAAACTGCTCAGAATTATTGCAAAATGTGAAGTATTTTATCATCAGCAGCTACAGTAAAGTTAAGAGATGAGGAGAAGATGAGGAGTACTGCTATTTGCAAATGCTGATGTCACGACTCCTAGCACCAAGGATGGCTGTAGCTTTTTTCAATTCTGATGGAAGGAAAACATTCCCTTTAAATTGCCACCTACGTCATCCCAAAAATGCTGCAGTTTCAAACTCGATGTTGTCAGGTTGTATGATTGCTGGGAAGTATAGCCACAGCCTTTTTGCTCTGCAGGGCTGTAGGGAGGTTTTCTGACCTTTGCAGGTCACACAGAAGTTCCCTTAGGTGCTTTGGAAAGGAGTTTGAACCATGTATCATCTCTCATGTGGTATAAACAGTTGCTGTAAAAAAGAAAAAGAAGAAAAAAGGGGGGGTATTCTGAAGTCTTAAGGGGCAGTGAGAGGACCCATGACCAGCAGGTCTCCAGAATATGCATGGGGATACAGGAGAGAGCTGCACTTTGTATTGATAGGCTAAAAGTTCCTTCCCAGGCAAAGCAAATAGTTGTGCACAGAAAGATGTTTGAAAACCAGTAAGTGGATCTCTGTGAGGAGCACCTGGGCGAGCTAAGGTCTTTGCACCTGTAACCAAGGTAGCTTGGAGCTGACTGTGGGGACTTTGCTCTCTCTTGGTTGTGTTAGATTACTTCTACAAAATACACTGCATGTCCATATGAGTTCTTCGGTCCTAATTCATTTTAGTTTGATTCTGTTTGAACATTAAGTCCTATTCCTGTTTTCCTAGTCATTTAACTAGTTGATGATAAGAGTCAGAACTTGTGGTGTGAATTGAATTGTATTACCCTGGCAAAATCTGTGATTCTTAGCTTTTATGAGCACTCTTTATTTGTTTGGTGGTTTTTAGTGTTTTGTGTAAGATAATGGGTTATGCTTCATCACTGCCTGTATCATGGTAATGCTGGCACACCCTCATTTTTAGAAGGGTTCCCTTTTACTGGGCATTACAGTGATGCAAGGGAAAACAAGTCCTTCTTGTATTGGAGGCCCTAGAGCTGTATGCAGTACTGCAGGTGTGGCCTCACAGGAGTAAGGTAGAGGGGCACAATCGCCTTGCTTGACTTGCTGCCACCCTGATCTTGATGCAGACAAGGACACAGTTGGCTTTCTGAGCCACGATCACACTTTGACAGCTCATTTTGAACTTCTCATCAGCCAGCACCCCTAAGTCCTTCTTCACAGGATTGCTCTCAATACATTCTCTGCCCAGGTTGTATTTGTGCTTGGACTTGCCTCAACCAAAGTGCAGGACCTTGCATTTGGCCTTTTTCAATTTCAGGGTTCAGACAGACCCATCTTCTAAGCCTGTCTGGGTCTCTTTGGATAGCATCTCTTCCTCCAATGTGTTGACTGCAATGCTCAGCTTGGTGTCACTTTCTGAGGTGTCACTTGGTGTCACTGTCTTGGTGTCACTTTCTGAGGGTGCAATCAGTCCCAGTGACAAAGATGTTAAACAGCTCCGGGTCCCAGTAATGACCCCTGGGAATGCCACTTATCACTGATCTCTATCTGGGAATCGAGCCATTGACCACAGCTCTTTGTGGCCATCCACTCTTTCCTTATCCAGTAAGTGGTCCATCCATCAGATCCATGTCTTTCCAATTTAGAGGGAGTGTTGTGGAGATGAGCAGTTGCAAATCATGTAGTAGTTGCATAAATCTTTAGGAAATACGGGTGTAAAGCACAAGTAGCATGCTTGGATTTGTAGTCCTCTTGTTTTTGTCCATGAGAGGCAGAAGTTGCCTAAAAGGCTGCACATACTGTCCTGGTTGGGGTCTGATAGCTGAGTCATGATTTGTTCTGGTTGAGATCATCTTTGAAGTTGATACTTGATATCTTCAGCTAGTTAACTTTGCATGTTCTGTCTGTTCCAGGATAATGGCTATGTGCATATTCATACTCCCATAATTACATCAAATGACTGTGAAGGTGCTGGGGAACTCTTTCAAATTGGGGTAAGTTGGAATGGGTAGTGTTTCTTGATCTATTTGTTTATTTTACTTGCAGAGCAATTTTGGGATCACTGAAGGTTAGGTGGAGTGTTTGCGTAACACCTTTACTTTATATTCTGCTGTGATTATTATTATTTTTTTTTTAATATAGCAGTCCTTCAACGAATAACTGGGTCAGAATTAAACAGTTGGATTACTTTTAAAGTCCTGTTTAGTGCGTTAATCAGTACCTTTTGTACTGAGGAGTTACTTTATCCTTGGTGCCCTGAGATAGATTAGTGAGCAGGAAGACATGATGGAGATGTAATGGAACGTTCAGGACAGCCCAATATACAAAAATATTTGTTAGCTCTGAAATTAGGAATGTAATTCACCTTGATTCTTCTTTGCAACCGTGAGATTACTCCTTAAAAGAATGTCAGCAATATCCCAAACTGCTTTTCACACATATATTCCTCCCTACAAATTACTCTTATTGCGTATTGGAATTCTTCCTACTGAAATTGCCTTGTCTCCTGATATTGCTAAGTCTCTCTGTTTGTCCACCAGACTTCTGCCACAATCTGTCATTTTCTTAAGTACTTGACATCTTGGGTCAAAAGTGCCTGTGAAACTTGTATACAGCTATAAACACTACAGATTCCTCATGATTCCTAACCCCCCCGCGTTCATGAATCACAGGAGGTTCCATCTGCTTTTTATACTTCTATATTTGAAATGTACTTTTCTATCTCAAACAATTACATCCATTGCCACTGATGCTCATTGACTCCAGCCTTGCTGGTGAATCATCTGTAAGCAAAAGTAAAACTGTTGAGGTAGCAGTTGCTTTACTGCAGGATCACGTCTTCCACTCTGCGCAGCCTCATGGCAAACAGCCTCCATCTACTCATTCTCCAGGATGTCACTGTCTAACCTGTGCTACTAGTGATTCCCTTCCATATGTGTGCCTCAGCTTTTTGTTTGCTGTGACAATAGAGTTGATTAGCTAAACTAAGTTGTTACTGTTTAATTGAGATCCCTTAACGCTACCAGAGGTTTCCTCCAGGCTGTTGCATGCAAATGAAGATGTGAAAACAAGTGACACTTAATGATGAGAACATTATACAGTGTGCAGCTGTACAGTATATTACGTCTTTGGTACAAATTGTATCCACTTGAAAGCAGGACTGGAGCGTAGGTGGCTGGTAGAGTAGCAGAAGCACTCATGCAAAATGTAGGTTGAGGTGGTAAAATATGAATCTGAAACTTGTATCAACTGGATCTTAACAAACAGTTCAAGATAAAAACTGCTAATCTCTCTCTAGCGTGATTGCTCAGGTGTGAAATAGTACCAGTCCTGGGGAAACTGGGCTTGAAAGGAATGGAGGAAGTACTGAGTAATATACCATTGAGTGGTCTGCCCCACAAAGAAGAGCCTTCAGAGAAGTTTTCCCTGGTTTATTTCTTCTTTGAGCACTGTTTTATCATTTAGCCTGATTTAGTTAGGGCTTGGTTTCCTTTCTGCAGAGCTCTGCTCTAAGTTGGTCTTGGCTAGCAGCGATCCAAGACAACTGGCTGTACTGCTGTGACTGCTGCACTCTGCAGGAACAGCAAGACTGTTCCTTGGCAGTGGAAATCTTGGGGGCATGAATCCTTCCTTGGGAGAATGTAAATCATGGACATAAGATTATAAGACCAGTCCTCCAGTTGTGAACAGAACATAAATTGATGTCCTATTGCTCCTGAATTAGTAGTAGTAAAATGTACCTGTGCTGACAGTCTGCAAGCAGACAAGGCTGGCTTTTTTGCACTTCTTTTTAATTAATTCCATTGAGCAGATGGGTAGTATCACCAGTTGAGTTATGCTGCTTTGGTTGAAATAAGCTGAAAGCTTTGAGTAGCCTTTAAGACCACAGTAGTTTTAATCCTCTAACTAATGTCTGACCACTGTTCAGGCTGCTGTGTTCTTTAGAGATGGTGGAAAGTGAAGAAAGGAAGAGTCAATTTTCACATGAGACTTGAAGAGATGGGAAAGCATTATTCTGAGTTAGAAAGGAAAAGCCTTTTGAAGGCATATGATCTTTGATTCCTAGACCTCTTAATCCTGCAAGATTCATGTTTGTTTATATATTTGGCTTCCTCATCATCTTTGTTTGGTTTTGAGTGAACTGATTAGTCTACGTAGTTTTGGTTGGGATGTTCTCATACTAGGATTTAAAGTGAGGGGGAATCCCTTTCACCTCTACTGGGCAAGTTAATTCAAGAAAACATTTTTAAAATGAAGTACTGTAAAATTGAAAAGAGAGTGGTAAACAGAGGAAATCTTAAAAAATAAGTCAGAAAATGGTAAGAACTTCAGAGAAATCCTTTGTATTTGAGGTTTTTTTTCTGCAGCTCAAAGAAAACAAATGGAGGAGAAACTGCTGGAAGTTTGAAAACAGCTAGGCAAATCTTAACCTGCACAGAGAACATCAGCAACACCAACCTGCAGATTTCTGCACCTTTGGTAGTGTCATCTTTCTTTGGAACCCTGAAGGCAGGAAGCCTCTTGGCTGTGCCATCTTCCTTGAAGGAAACTTACTGAGAAGTCCAGAAGAGCTTTGAATATTGAGAGCTGTGTTTTAGTGAAATGCAAAGTAGGACAAGGTAATCCTCCAACTGGGGAGAGTTAGGATTAACAAGGTGAGACAGCCCTTTTTATTTTTAATTTAATCAGAGAATAATTTCTTTCAGAACCTTAGGGGAGATCCTTTCCTTGTCTTTTTTTTTTTTCTACTGAAGTGTAAAATCCTTTAAAAGCTTTGTATATCGCAATAAACTTGACCCAGTCTACTTCTGGGGCTGCTCCCTAGGAAATCTGCCTGCCTTTTGTCTTTGTGACCCAGCTGCGTGTCTGTTCCCTGCTATTTTCAGCAGCCACCCACTCTGTCTGCAATGTTGAAGGCTCTGTACATTCTGGGTCTCCTTCTGTCTTTTTGACTTTGCTCTCTGGAAAGTTGCCTTGTTTGACTGTCCTCAGCTGCTGTGGGGAAGTTGCAGTCTCCTTTCCCCTCTGCAAGAGCTTTCCTGACATGGAATGCTCTGATAAAACCCTGGGCAGCCATATTCCTTGCCACTCAGCCTGTTAAAAGAGCTTTGCAGTCACTTAGCATGACAGTTCAATTGGCATCCACAGCTCTTTGAAGTGTATCTCACCTGTGTCTGGTGTTGCCTGCAGACTTATTCTTTTCTGGAACAATGTTCTACTGAGAAGAGGTGCAGTCTACATAGTGGCTTCAGTGGAGATAATATGTTCTCTGTATCAGATTTATCTCTTCCCACACACATACCTCATTGCATTTGACATCAGTGCTTGACTGATCAGACTAATTCATTAAATGAAGGAATATTTATTTTACTCCAAAACTTGAGAACCATCCAAGTATTGTTCTTCTCCAAAATGTATCCAGAGAGAGTATAGTGTTTGGTTTTCTTACCATTTGCTCATAGAGAAGAAGTAACTCTGGATCCCTGAAGAGTGAAGTTCATGGCTGTGTGTCCTGTGGAACCAGAAATGTGTGTCTGCTACTGAAATTTACTCCTACCATACTTTCAGTACTTCTGAAAAATAACCCTGTCAGCACCAAGAAAGGCTGGGATCTGCTGGGAAGAGAAGCACAGTTAAATGCAACAGGATTAGCATCTGTCAGGTGTTTCCCCTTCAGAGATGTGTCACAGTCTGGGAGGCAGCCAGTACCTGGGAGCCTGGGACTTCAAGAGAGCTGCTCAGCAGGGCTCAGCATAAGCTGGAACTGAGCTGAGGGAGAGCTTGCTGTCATCTTCCCTGGCTCTCCTGGTTTATGTTTTTCTTTACCTGGCTCTTCACTGTCTGTAATTCCAGTGCAGTTTGTGTGAGATGTTTCTTGCAGTAGAAATAGCTGATGCTGGGCTCCCACTGGGCCATAGCAGAATTAGGGCTGGAATTGAAAGAAGGACTTCCTTGAAGTTAAAAATTCTGCAGTTTATCTAAAGAGGAAAACCCACACATGTTTGTAATAGGGCATCACAGAGGGTAGGCTGGATTGAAGTTGTGTTACTGTGAAGCTTCAGCAGTGTGCTGTTGTGGGCCTGCTCTAGAGCTAGAGCAGTGATTTCTGTGAGCTTTAAAAGTCATCTCCTATCCCCTCATGCTTATGTAGAGTAGAAGAATCAAACGGTTTATACTCTCCTAAAGCAAATTGCCTCAAGTAGAAGTTAATACAAGACTGACATCAAAGTGAATAATTTTAAATTAAATCGTTAGACATTTGAGAAGGAGAACAAAACAGGTACTAAATCCAGTTGTTCTCGTACTTAGAATGAAAATAAAAAGCCTTTGATGTTGATGTCAAATCCTAGCATGTTTATAGTGCATTTACTCTGAAACACCAAGATGTTTCATACAAATTCCCCCTCCCTCTCTCTTCACTGTAAGTAGAGGAGTTTTTGATTAGGAAATGGAGAGAACTTTAAAGCAAACACATTATTTCCCCTCCCTGACTTGTAACAGGTAGGTTTGGTTTTGTGTTGTTTTTTTTTTTTTTTTTGAGTGGAAGTGGGAAATAAAGCCATCTAATTGAAATAAAAGCACGAGGTTGTAGCTTCATTTTCCTCATCATGAACATGAAAAAACAACCTTGCTCTGTATCTGCAGAGAGATGACACTGTGAATGGGGTTATTTATTATACGGAAGCAGGCTGAGTATAAATCTGGGCCATAAATGCTTCAGAACGTTGGCCTTAGCCTGTTCTTGTATATATAGAGTGGAGGAACCACTTCTGGTGGGTTTTTCAGTATTTGCATGTATGAAATGGGAAGTTGTTAATTACAGGACACTTCCTTGCTGAAGGTGTCCCTTCTGACCTTTTCCAAAGGAGAAGGGAGTCATCTTCTCCAGACAGCAAGTGGATTGATTTGGTGATTTTTTTTATTTCTTTTTTTCCAAGTTCACAGCACCCATTCCTCAAGATTGTGCTTCAAAGGGGGGGAAAGTGAACACTTGGAAATGGGGAGTAAAATTGTATTTAAGTTGCCATATTCACTCTCCAACTTTTGTTGGAAATAACCTAGCAAATTCTTGCAGTGCACGTTTACATCTCAGGACCTGAAGGATCTATCAAGCTGGTTTGTATAGATCTAGTTTAGCTGTAGTGTCTCAGTTTTCCTTCAGTCACTTGCTGTTGTGTCTGTTTTCCCTTTGCCTCACTGTAATTACATCTGATATGAAGAATGAAAAATGACACAAAGTCATCAAAAATAAACCAGGGCCCAGCTCCTGGAGGCAGCTGTATCCTGTTTGTGGCTTTGGGGGAAGTATTAAGATTTCATGGCTGATTTCTTCTGTTCTTTTCCTGCTTCTAGTCTGTCTTTTTCTCATTGTTTAGAAGTTGCATCCTACAGGATTAGGTGGGATTTTTCACTGGTGGGATAAGGAATGTTACTGAACTAAACTTCCAGTAGGATAAGCTGGGGTGGTACATGGCTCTTCTCTCTGGTTCTATGGGCATGGCTCTGGGACTGTGGTATGTGGATGCTTGAATGTTTATTAATATCCATATTGTTTTTGAATAAATACACTGGATTTATTTGAAGAAAACAATAGGGGCCTGCTTCTGCATCCTTGTTTTCTTTTTTAGAACTACAAAACCTATGAAACAAAGGAAGCCGTCCTGGGGTTGCAGCAACAAATTGTCTTACTTCCATTGATCTTTGTGTATCAAGGCAGGCTTGCTCTTTTCTTTAGCTTGATGATGTAAAGAGATAAAACTGCTCTATGATCTGAGGCCTTTGACAGTCTCTTTTTTTTCTTTTTAATCTTTGTGATGAGCAGCGAAGCTTTTTAAGAACAAAAAAGCAACATCTTCCAACTCATTGAGAAAAGTGGCATGTTGTAGAATATCAAAGGCTGGCAGACAAGCCTGAGCTGAGCAACCTCCCCATGACAAAGCAAGCTGAGGAGCAGGGTGGCTAGAGGCAGTAGTGCGCTTTGTTGAGCTGGTAGCACTTAGCTTAAAATTCTAGGATCTACTCTTTGAAAAAAAGTATTTCAAATTTATCTCAGAAGAAAGTAGTCATTTTGAAGTGAACATAGATCAACAAAGCCTCAAATTATCTTCAGAGTTTCTTTCATTTTTTCTGAACCACTGACTCCTCTAAAGCTTAGGGATGATGTTGAGATACAGAAGATGCTGCTGTGATCTCATTTATCTTACTGTTTTTTGTTTTTTGTTTTTTTAAAAAAAGTAAATAATAAATGACAGAATTGTTACCTTCAGACATAATCCAACTGCTGCTCAGGCAGAGCCAGGTGGAACAAGCTGTCTGGGGCTGAGTCCACTTGAATTCTGAACATCTCTGCAGCCGGAGCTTCCTTAGTCCATACCACTGTTTGAAAAAAAAAATAAAACTTCTTCAGATCGAATGGCACGGTGTTTTTATCTTCTCTTTTCTTGTGGTTGGGCACCACTTGCAAGAGGACCTGGCACTGTCTTCTTTGCACTCTCCTTTCTGGTATTTGTGGACAATGATGCGCTCCCTCTGAGCTTCCTGTTCTCCGAGGTGAGCAGTCACAGCTCTCTGTCTCTCCCCATCTGAAAGATGCTCCAGTTCCTTCATCACCTTTGCTGGACTCACTGCATTATCATCTATCATGAGTACTCCTGCATCTTTCTTCACTCCAAGGGCTCGTTGCTGTCTTTGGGCCTGCTTGGTTTTCAGGAAAATAGTGAAGCATAATTTTTAAATGATTTATGAAGGTATCATTGCAAAGGTCTTTCAGTTTCTCTTTCATACCTGGAAATTAAAACCTGAAAATATGCCTCACTTGAATGGAATTTATTTCAGACTTCTTTCGTAATTGCTGAACTTGCTAAATTTTCCATTACATGTAGTTTTTTATACTTAAATATCTGGAGACCAGAACTAATGGGCAAAAGCTGAAATGAAACGTTTTTCAGTGCCTATACAACGTCTGTGCTGTGATGTTTCCAAATCCAGGTTGTTGTAGTTCTTCTTTTCTGGAGACTGAAAAACAATGAAGCCTTAAGAGGATATTCCGTTGCTTTTTTTTTTTTGTGGTTGGTTTTTGTTTTACCAGTGAGGGAAAAAAATCACTTGTCTATGAACAAGAAATAGCACTGTTTGTAACTGTTGTTAAAGGAGTGTACCAGCATGGAAAATACTCATCTGCTTTTTCAATAGGCTTGAAATTGAATTTTGAAAGAAATGCTATTGACCGTCGAAATGGTAGAGATTCTTCCCATTCATTATTCTTCTTGGTAGGAAAGAATGAAAAATAGAGTTTTCTGTTTAGAGACACGGTTGATACACTGCTGTCACTCTTTTGAATGTTGCTGAACAAATTGTCATAGAATCACAGAATGGCTTGGAAGAGAGCTCAAAGATCTTCAAGCTCCAACCCCCTGCCACAGGCAGGGCCACCAACCTACACATTTAATCCTAGCCCAGAGCCCCATCCAACCTACCTTGAACAGCCTCGGGGACGGGGCATCCACAGCCTCTCTGGGCAGCTGTTCCAGCACCTCACCACTCTCTCTGTAAAGAACTTCCCCCTGACATCCAGCCTAAATCTTCCCTCCTTCAACTTAAAACCATTTTCCCTTGTCTTCTATTATCTACCATTGTAAAGAGTTTACTCCCCTCCTGTTTGTAGGCTCCCTTTAGGTACTGAAAGGCTGCAATGAGGTCACCCTGCAGCCTTCTCTTCTCCAGGCTGTACAAGCCCATCTCCCTCAGCCTGTCTATGTAGGGGAGCTGCTCAGCAGACGATCCATTTTGTACAGTTTTCACTGTGTGTTTTTATTTCCTATAAACATGGTACATCATTTCTCCACCTTCTCCCAAGTTCCTGGATGGGCAGAGCCTTTAGCTACGATATGTTTTACTCTGCCTTGGAGCTAAAACCCAGAGGCGATCCTAGAAAATCTGATCTTCCACCGCCTGTATTTTCTGACTTGCTTTTTAAACGGTGCAGGTGTCCTTCTTGTCGCTTTATTTTACTTTGCTTTATCATCTCCTTCTTTTCTGCAATACCATTTCTGTTTCAACTCACCCATATTTAAATACATACATTACATAGTTGTTTACTTTTAGTAAAATTCAGAGCTCCTGACATATATATCCAACATACAAAGGCAAGAGTGACAAGGGAAAACTCATGAATTCTTTTAGTTGGTGAAGTTTTGGGCTGATGGTCAAACCCTGAGAAGCTGTGTCACTTCAGCGAGTTACTTCTCTGCAGCTGAACTGATAAAACTAATTGTTCTGCATCTAATTTACAATCCCTCTCATTCTGAGAAATATCTGAAAGAACTGTTTGTTTTTCCTCTGTGTTGACATGTCTAAACTTTCTTGGTGATACAGGTGGAATGTGCAACAGTTCACTTGTTCTGTTAGTTGTGATACCTCCAACCCACATCTTCATAAATCACTGAAAGTGGAAGTGGGGAGCTGTGTTGTTTCCAGCTTAGTGTTTGACTTTTTACTATGCAGCCACTTCAGGTGCTTCAAAGCCCTACAAAGAGAAGTCTCCGAGAGTACTTTATCACGTGGGTTATTCTTGTTTTCCTGTCTTTTGTTTGAATTGTTTATAGAGCCTGTTAGTTGTCTGAGCAAAGATGGGTAGCATCATCTACAGCTGTTGGGTTCCTTCTCAGAGGTGTTTGGGTGGACTGTGATGTAAGTTGTTAGGAGGAAAAAAAAAAAAAAAGAAATGGGGTGCTGTGATCTTTATTCAAACACTGATAGACTAACTGTGGATTTTTTATTTGCAGACATCACAGGAGGCAAAAGAATCTGTGGAAAAGAACCACTTCTTTAATGTGCCCACCTTCCTTACAGTTTCTGGCCAGCTCCATTTGGAAGTGATGGCAGGGTGAGCAAAACTACACGTTTTTGGTTTGATCTGTGATATCCTTTCATTTGGCAGTTGTGCCCCATTGTTACCCATTAGCTATCTGCAACGTGCACCAGAAAGAAAATGAGCAGCAGTGCCTGGATGATGATGTGAAAGGTCAGTGTATGTAGGTGAAAGCTGAACTTTTGATTCTGGTCTGTGAACTAGATTTTGTTGCTACGTATCTGGTGTGGATTGGGAATACTGGATGCACCCTTATAGGAATGACAGGAGGTTTGTTATCAACAGTTGTAATATCTTAAATGTGTATTTGTTGTTCTTCACATTTACTGTGTCTCAGAAATTCTTTTTAACTTGAGCAATCACATTACTTTCTTCTTTTTTTCTTTTCATTCCAACCTACATTTGTGTCTACAGTCTTTCTGGTGTGTTTCTTCCCCCTGCCAGTTTTCAATTCTTATGTTTCATGGCTTTCACACTTAATGCTATGTTCAGTCTGGCCACCAAACTGATCACAGTTGAATAGTTAATACTGACTTAATTAAAAAAAAATAAAAATCCCTAAGCTTTTGATAGTAATGTTTCACTGAGACTGCAAGGGGTGAAAGTGTCATAATCTGTCAGAGACACATTTGTGTTTGTTGAGGGAATGTTATGCTCATCTACACCAAATTCTCCAAACTATTAAAATAGTTTGTCAAGCTGAAGGAGGCAGAAAGCAAAGTTCTCTGAACACTTAAAATGTGGGTTATCCTCAGATGTGGTGCTTCAGCCAAGTTGCTGTCAGCCAGCTGAATTGCTGGTAAAGTCTATCACAGGTCACGTAGGTCTGTGTCTTTTTCTCAGTTGCCGAGGGGGTTTGACATGCACTTACAGGGGATACAGAGCTCTTTCTGAAGTGATTAGTTACTGTTAGGTAACTAATTAGATGCTAGTCTCCTGAAAACGAGAGGAATAAAACCCTAGCTTTAGAAAACATGGTTAGAAGTTGAACAGCCTGCCTTTTCGTGTAGACTCTGAATATTTCTGACAGTCACAGTATAAGTTGTTGTCCATGCCATTCCAGTGTTGAGAACCAAATCATAAATGTTTAGCTGCTTTCTGTTTAATCAGTGTTGCAGAGTGCATTTGACTGCTGATATGTAAATAGTTGCAGTGAAGTTGTTAAAGTTTTGCCTGCAAATAAAAATAGCAATTTCTTCAGAAATCTGTTTTCTGCCTTGTTTATTCTGTCTGTGAGACTGTATCTCAGACCACCTAGACAGCTGGGATCTGCTAAAATACTCAAGCCAGAGGTTCTCAATGGACAGGATGTTTTTGACTTGCTCTCATGTGGTGCCCTGGCTGTTGTGACAGAAGCACAGGTCACTTGGCAGCCAAAGGCTGATGCGTCATCTCAGACATTATCTGAGGCAAGATAATGAGGTTTGTTTAACTGTAGAGTTTTGCATCCCTGAAAGAAGATGGGATGACATCCACTCGTACGTGTCAGACTTAATTGGCTTTCATGCCTTGTGACCTTTATTGAAAGACGTAATTCCATGAATCAAATAAGTGCAAAGAAAAGTATGGATTGTAATGATTAACTTGAAATACAATCTCGCCCTCGTACATCAGTCTGTTCCCTTTAAATAGTACACAGCCTGCCCTCGGATTGAGCAGAAGGCTCAATTGGGCAGATGCAGGACCTGTCTGCTAACTATTTTTTCCATTGCTGTCATTCACGTGCACCTTGCTCTGTAAAGATGGGCAAAAAAAAATCAATGCTCTTCTGAATGCAGTACATTGTATTACAGCTTTGTGTTCTTGTTTGACAGTAGCATGCTGTTCTTACAGGCATTTAAATGGATCCAGTGCTGTCTAAATTTAGATAAGTGGTTTTATTCGGAATGGGGCATAGCTGCTCTGTGAACCCACTCTTCGTATTTTTATTTAGTGGGTTTTTGAGGCCTAGAACTCAAGTGCTTTGCATCCCTTCAGCTTTCAAAAATAGATCATGCTCTTCTAGATGCAGAAATGTGATGGTTTGCTGTGGAATTGGGATATTAGCTATCTTAAAGCTGTGAAACCCTTCAGATACTGAGAAGATTTTTATTTCTGGTTTCTTGTGTGAAGAAAGTTGGATATTAGTCTGTGAATAGGATTCTTGCACAATCAAATAATTTAAGTGCATAGTAGTAACGAAGTCTGCTTGGCAAACAAACTTGTTCTCATGATGCTTTCAAAGCATGAAAATGTCAGTCCTTTTCCCAAAAGTGGAAATACACTGGTCCTCTTAGTAAACAAAGCAGTCAAAACAGTGTAGAATTATGTGTTTTAGATTTGATCCAATGAAATTTACCCTTTCTGTCAGTTGTGTTTTAACCGAATTTATTTTTCTTTGTGCCCCAAAAATGAACTATTCTTCAGTAATTCCCTTTTGCTTAAGTAAGTGTTGACTTGCATCAGTCATACCATTTTCAGGAACAACTGGTACATGAGAATCTGCGAGAATCTTGTGAGACTAAGGTAGAAATATTTGGGAGACAGACCTTCCTCATCTGATCTTGGCTTGTTTCCTGCTCTGATTTGCTGTGGGAAATGGGAGTGCAGAGGCAGATCCTGAGCAAATCCATTACAAACCAGGGGTGGTACAAGACAGGTATGAGAGGAATTTTTCCATGGGGTTTTCTAGGGGACAGAAAGTCAACTGGGCAGACAGTCATGTTTGCATGGAGCTTGCTTTTAGCTTTTCAGAGCTCATGAGCAGGCTGCAAGCTGTGGTTGGAAATGTCTGGGCAGGGGCCGTATGGGAAGACTTACCAGATGTGTCTGGATCCAAGCCTTCTGCTGTCCTTGCTGAGAGTTCATTTGCAGTCTGTGGGGTGTCACTGTTAGGACATGATGTCAGTGTTGTCCAGAGACCTGGGCTCTATTTTACAGTGTGCTATTTCTGATGACAGAAGTAGAGCAGTTGAGCAGTTATGACTTAGGAGTTTTGAATCTTTTTCTCTGAAGAAAAAGGAGAAAAGAGGAGTTCCTGTATTTATTGACTATCTACTAAGCTGTGTGTGCTTGTTATTGAAAGCAAGGTCAGAGGAGTTCGTCTTGTCTCTCGGCGTGACACCAATGGCCTAGTTGGCACAACTTCTCATTTCATTTGCAGTGACGGCATCTAGGTTGACTGCTCAGCGTGTCTGAATCACTGTCAGCTATAAATCTAGAGGCTGACTGAGGTCTCCAAAAAAAGTCTTTATTCAGTAATACAGCTCTGTAGCCTTCTAAATCCTAAATGAGTCAGTAAACACTGTGGGCAGAGGTTTGTAGGACTGTGTGCGCCCCAATATCTGGTTTAAAATGTCACTGGTTTGCTGTGAGGTCACTGGTCCTTGTGGTATTTCCTCCAACCCTCCTGTGAGCATAAAGGCCCTTTTGGGGATTTGAACTAGGCTGGAGGGTCTATGAGAGTTGATTCAAAGTCATGCTGCAGACAGCCAAAACCAACTGTTGCCAAGAAGAAAAGCTCACTGGGCTTATTTACTCATTTATTTCTCCTTTCGCCCATCTGAACTTCCCACAAGATCTACCTGCTCCTCTCTTTTCAGCCTTGTTGCTAATAGCTTACATCATTGTTTTGCTCTGGTTGTCCTGGCCTCTCATTCCATGTCAGGCACTGTCTGTTCTGCCTTTTGCATCATTAGTTTCACTGGAGCTGCTCTTCTAGATAACTGTGGAGCCTATCCCCTCCCTAAATCACAGAAGTTTTCTCTTTTCTCGCCCTCCCTAGCTCTATTTCTTCCCTCTCTTCAGTCCCCCAGTAGGCTTCTCATCTCCTATTAATCTCATGTTTTCCTACAAATGAGCAAAAGGCTTAGGTGCAACCTTCTAGGAGCTTGCTAATACCTGCATGGAGGTTGTCAAGAAGACAGTCACAGAATCTTTGCAGTGGTGAGTGACAGAATGGCAGGAGAAAATGGGCATAGGTAGCAGTGAGAACTTCTGAATATTAACAGGGGAAAAAATTCATGAAGATATCAATCAAGCATCAGAGAAGATTACTGAGGGAGCTTGTGCGGTTTGTATCCTCAGAGATTTTCTAAGACAAGAGCTGGAGAAAGCCCAGATAACCCTGTTCTGATCTTTTTGCTGACCCTGCTTTGAGCAGCAGGTTGGGCTAGCGACCTCTCAAAATCCCTGCCAGCTTGAATTGTTCTGCCATTCTAAGTTTATTCTTGACTTGTTTCCCATTTCTGTCTTTGCTGATCTCATGCACAGAACCATCTGAATGAACCATCTCTAGTTCAGCATCTCTCCCTAGCTCTTGTATTTTTCTGCCTAAACTACATTCTCAACCTTTTGCACTGACATCTGCCTGTTAATGTCTAATTATCAAACTTGGTTTAGTTGAAACATAATTGATTTTGCTCTCATCTCCTTAAGCACATCCTCTTGGTTTCTAAGAGATTGTGGATTTTACTGGTTTCCTTCTAATATTAGATATTATCTGCAATCCTGCAACTGGCTTTTCTGGTTTTAGAGAGACTCTAAAAAAATCTCTGTCATTCAGACCATGTTAGCTGTGTCTACCCTGAGTTTGCAGAGAGCTAAAAGCGTGAATTTCCTGTTGGTTTCAGAAGAATGCACAGATTTCATTTCACTGCTTTTCAAAGCAGTGGTGAAAGAGAGCTGTCTGTTTGGATTGATGTTCAAGAAGATATTGCAGAGCTGCACAAAGATGCGTGTGAGGCCTTCTTCAGTAAAAGTGGCTTTTCTTCTGGCAGTCTGGCAAATGCAGCCTTAAAATTTGACTCTGAAATGACTTGATAATTATGGAAAAAATTGCATTGACCTCAAGCAAATATTTGCTCTACATTGTACTATTTCAAATACTTTCAGATGCAGCTGCAAGAACGATGTCCAGTTGTATAGCATTCCTGTTGCTAAAAATTAACAAATAGAAGTGTAATTATTTATATTGGATCCCTAAAAAAATCTCTGACATTTCTTGTGCAACAGTTGAGTCTGACTCACAACACAGA